CAATTCCGACGTGAAGTGACATTGAGGAAAGTCGACGCGTATCTCTCTCATTCCCTCTCTTTATCTATTTATCTATCTCCCTCTCTCTTTTTTTCTCGATTTTTATCGATTATTCGGTATGCAAAGTAACTGATTATATAAGAGTTATTCAATGCTTCGAATGCTTTGCTTTTGGTCACTTTGCGAAACATTGTAAATTTAAGGAGTCATTGTGCAGAGAGCTATGAAACGAAGGATCGCAACAACAATAGAAACCAGTGCAAACGCAGGAGATTGAATATCGCACGAGATTCAACACCATTCGGCATTGGATTGTGAAAGTTGTTCCCTTCCGCTAATGAAAATCTTGAACAGAATCAAAGGCAGCAATTATGGATAAAGCTACACTCGGGAGTATCTTCGTGTCTGTCACGCTGTCAATCATTACTAACTTATCTGGATGAATTTTGATTGTATTTGGCAAACGCTAGATATCATGATATCTGTATTGGAAACCTGGATCAAACCTTACCGTCTCAGACGAGCAGCTTGTATCTCTTCAAAGGAGATCATCAATTGCTTAAATGATAGAATTGACAGGATCGGTGATGATATGGTCACTTTAGTGCTGACCTTAGTATTCACTCGTACATCAAATTCTAATTTGTGAAATTGTCGAATCTATACTTTATTTTTTTTTTGCACCGGCACATCATAATCTTCAGACTTTTCTAAATCTACGCAACTTGGATGATGCTGCGACATTTATTTCTTTTGATCAAACAACGCAACGTACGCTTCCTTTCGGCTCATGATCTAATCTGTATACACACAAAATGAAAATTGATTGTTTTCCCAATCAAATTAGAGTTCGCCATTTTTAACAATTTCCTTGACAATCTTGAAAATTGTACTGAAACGCTTTTTATTGTGCAGAAGATGTCAGTTTGAAGATCAATCTCTATAAACACTTAAGTGAGTGCTACAAGCATGTTCCATATCGCGACCTATCTCTCAAGTTTTGCTAGCGCCTTGGCTCACTTAGAACATCAGAATTATAATGAGGAAATGTGAGATGGCCAGAAGGATAAGAAAAAAAAAAGTTCTGATTGGAACTTCAATTACTACAAAATATTATAGGAATATATACATAGGAATCAAGTATTAGAACTTGTGCGCAATACCAAAAAGATTTATTATCTTGAGAGCTTACGTGAGCTTTGAAGTTCACACTGAAGTTGCTCAGACTAATCAAAAAAAATATTTCTAACACCGGAAACTATCTATGATACTTAATCGGCTTTCATCTTTCTTCTTTGCGTTGTATTTGTGCATACTTTGTGTAATATCGCGATACTCTCTCATTCTAATCGCATTCAAACTACATTCTTCAACTATCTGCTTTTATGTTTGAATTATGCTAATTTGAATTTGAAGTCGGCGCACACAACACGCTATATTTGTGATCACTTTCTTTTTTTTAATAATTTTGTCCTTTCCTCTTTATATTCAGTTATTTTTTTTTAGTGTTTCCAATATCTGTTGTTTTCTTTATATTTATACGCTGTGTAGCTGCTATATTGATGTGTTTTAGAAGGCATCGTCTCAAAGCGCCTAATAAATATCGAATCAATCTTTTTTTTTTTCTTTCTTTCTCTCTCTTTCTATCTTTCTTCTTTGAACGATGGTCGAGTATTATTCGACACGAAATTTCGAGGCGTCCTTGAGCGTCTTCTTTTAATGCTGCCAAAAACTCAAATCATGATATGAACGCAAAGGCGTACATTACCGTCGTGTAGATTGATGAAACTGATTTGCGTTTGCATTTTTTATTTATCGATGTGTCGAAATCTGATTGATCATTTTTTTTGCACTGTTTAAAAAATTGAATATCTCAGCATTATTTACGGCTGAATTAAATTTCTGTATTGAACTTTAATATACTTATTATTACTCAATAAATTGTTAGTGACGATAATAATATTTTGGATCAAAGGAAACCGCGATCGTTACCTTACAGCAAAAATAGAGCACGTTGCCATACAAGCA